AACATCAGAACGGACAGATTTATTAAATAATTTGCCCTCAAATCTTAATACTTTCTCAACAAATACTATAGACGATATATATACTTTATAAGGGTCTGTTTGTGAATGAATCAGCCAATGACCATTAGAGAAAATAGACAATATTGTTGTCTAAGGTAGCATATAAAAGCAGGAATCTAAGGAGTGATTGTTTCTGATTCCCTTATGTTTCATAACAAGCGGCTACCTTAAGGGAAATAGAGTTTTGTGGATACCAAACAGGTTGCTAATAGTGAATCAGAGATCTGGCAGAAAACAAAACGAAGATAGGTTGCATGGGTAAGTGTTTTTGTCTAGCACAGACTCTGGTGACGCAGACTGTGACTATTTGAAGAGTAACTTGACACATCAAGCTTGGGTCTCTGGAAGTGTCTGAGAAGGATTTGATTAAGATTCTAAGGCTCATTTTCAATTGAATGAAATGTAACTTGAATTTCTACATTCATTCTGGTGAACTGCAATATTGTAATGGCAGCTACTGCACAGACTTTTTGGTATTTACTGGGAAGAAGTCAGAGGCGTAGCTTCTTAGACAATATTACAAGATAAGTAAGCTGTCAACAACATTTATTGAAAAGCTGCTGTGTGAGAATCCTTTGCTATCAGCCCTGTTTAGTTCAGGTCACTGATTCTCTCTAACTAAAAACCCAAAGCAGGAACCCAATTTGAACTGGGCACATATCACATTTTGATAAGTCACCATACCCAGGAGCAAGGGCAGCAAGTGGGGAACAAGAATGTGGATAGAATATTCCGGCCTAGTTTAAGCCATTTACTTGGTGGATTTTTAATCTAATTTCAGTTCTATTTTGAACTGTCTAGAAAGTATCTAAAGCAAAGTTTATTTTAAATGCACTTATCTTTATCTCACACCATTGCCTCCCAGGGGAAGATTCTGAGTGACTTTGTTGGAGAGGGATAGTGAATTTTTAAAGTGAGTTTTAAAAATGTTTCTCAGATTATTATGGCGCTGTTTGCCCTCTATTCTTTAACAAAAAATGACCATAGTGTGACATTCCTATAGAGTGCCCATATGTTGCTCACATCCATTACATTAGTTTCATGAACAGTATTTTACTATGCTAAAATGTATGGGGTCAAGATTTATATCTGACCTTGAGTTCATCTGTTTAACATAAGCTAAGTTTTGCAAATTTCAAACTCTTCATTTCTCAAATGGAAATAGCACAGATGTCATAAGCTTACTGAGATGATTGGATAAATGCAAGTCCTTATATCAGCAAGACTTTCATCAGCAAAACCCAAAATACCACATGCATTTTACCAGGAAGCCACATAATACCAGGAAACGATTTGTTGTAAAAACTTTGAAAAATATTTTCTTGGGAGTAAAGATGTCCAAGATGGACACTGTTGGTTGTCAGAATAGTAATAGGCGCACTAAGTGTGGGTGTGATACCAAAAAGTGAGTAATCTTTCAGGAATTTTTGATGAAGCCAAATTTTGCCTTTCTTGTTTTCCTGTGTATCTCTGCCATTTGAAAAGAATACCATTCTTTTCAAACTTCTAAATCACAATACAAAATCCTCACATTAGAACATTTTTGGCAAGAGAATTGGGAGAATGTATTTTCCTGATTTCCATTGCCAAAGAAAAAACCTGAAATTGTAGGCATAGAACTGATATACAAAAGATGATCAAATATAACAACAAATGTCCAAGGAAAATTGTTCTTGGTATGTATTAATCTACTGCCTTTGTACTAATTATCCTGTGTTTCATTGAGTTCTAGTGTTGAATTCTGGACCCCAGTATTATCTAACTGAAATGTGATGACTTTTTGCCATCCTGCTGGAGCAGAAGGGGCGAGGTTTTAGAGGCAGGTTATGGAACCGTTCCTGTAGCACATATTAGCTGGGTGTTGAAAAGACTGGGCCTTGCCATCTGCTGATTGCTGCATTTTCCTGGATCAGTTTCGACTTCATTCTTACACTTGCGCTCTCGCTCTTTCTCTCTCTCTCTCCCCCCCCCTCTCTCTCTCTTTCTTGATGTTTGAAATAATTTTAAAAGTAAGCAAAACACAATGAATAAATAAAACAATGTAAAGGCATATGTAAACAAGAATTACATAGTAAAAACAGCATACATGTCCAGCAGTACATAAAGGCAGTTTAAAAAGAAAACTCTGTCATGTTTGAGACTACCATGTTGTAAGGAAACCCATGCCAATTATTTGGATTAGCAGCATGGATAAAGTGATTCCAGGCTTGGATTTGAGTATAACAATCCTCCCAAGCCAGGCATCAAACATACTAATAAAGGAGTCATCACATGGCATGTGAGTGCATTAATTTCTGAAGTATGTCAGATAGGGATACCTTTTGTTTTGAGTGATTTGTTATGCAGGAGTAAATAGACACATTCTGTTTTGAAAACACATTATTACCCTGAGAGTATTGATTTAAGAGTATTTCAAGTACATTTTACACTCTTTCAAGGACTACGGCCACTTTTATGAACAGGGAAAGATATATCATGGGAGTGAACTAAACTATTTTATATAATATACACAAATAATTGATTTGGTTGCAGGTGATGAGGTGATATAATTATATAATTGCAGTTACATTTTCTCAGAAACATCAGTGTTTCATTAACACTAGTAGACGGTGCTAAATTGGAGGGATTAGAAATTTTCCTTGAAGAGGTAGACAATCAAATATACAGATAAGATTAAAAGGAGGCAAAGGAGAAGTTAAGGTTGTTTACAGTTTTTGTGATAAAAGTAGTAAAGCATAATATTTCTAGAATTTGGCTGAATGAAACAGAGAACCTAGATAATAGCCACCTTCTGTGGTTTCACTCCCATTTCCGTCTGGGAATCTCTCCCCACAATAATGATACTGTAATAACATGTGTGTGCACATAAATGAGATTATCAACAATTTTTGGCAGAAGTAAAGCTCTAGATTTAAGAAAACAATTAGAACAAATTGCAAGAGATCAGTAAGAATGAGAAAGACCCCCAAAATAGTAGATTAGCAAGGGAAAGAGCATAGAAAATAATTATGTCTACAAAGCCAATACAGAAGAGGGAGTACCCAGTAGCTTAGGTGAGATTGCATAGTATGTAAAACTTATCCATAGAGGAGAGGGAACTGAAGGATGTAGGCAATTTAGAGGAAAAGTAAATATTTTTTACCTGAGATGAATAGACTCCAAAAATAGAAAATAGCCGAGCATCAAATTCTTCTGGGTTGTTGCTAGTGCCAATCCAAGTCTTCCTTTCTGTGAAAATACGGCCATCTCTTCTGGTGCTGAGATATCTAGTGATAGAATTCACAATACATCATTATCTTCTAAGGAGTCAGTCCTTTATACAGAGAAGATTCAAAAAAGCCCTTTCACATATTTGCCACTCAGTAGGCGCTCTCAGTCTGAAGTGGTATATTTTGGGCTATCTTTGAGCAGTACCGTCACCTTAAAGGCCCTTTCCAAACTGTGTTGATAGTTTATTCTCGGGGATTCAATCATCCTATATTATAAGCTGGTTTTTCTTAAGGATTTCCCAGTAGTCTCTAAAGACTGCATGCATGAGGAAACTTTGAAAGTTTGTAGAAACATAAGATGAAATATCAAAAGAAAAATGCATACTTTATCAACATGACCACCTTCAAATTCAATACACATTTGTAAGAAATGTCTGCATTTTTATCCACCTTTAATTAATTAAGGATATTAGAAATTAAACTGTACCAGTTTAATGCAGTACTTTCTACATTATACTCTGAAAAAAAAATGAATGCCCTTTAAATAATTATTTAACAGCACGGACTGAAAAGAAGTAAGAATTTTCCAAATCACAAGGATAAGATAGAAGCTTAATGATTTTTTATTGACTCTGACAGAATTGCCCTTGCTTTAATGAGATCAGCAGAAGGTTGGTTGGCTGGAGAAGGATTCTCTGCGTAATCTTTGGCTAATGTTCTCAAAATTTTCTCCCAATAAACAGATGTTGTCATTATTCGGTATTTTAGAAAGTCAATACACAAAATGCCTTCGGCATGCAAAAGACTGTTGTTATGTTCTGTGTTTTTAGTACTTTAGCTTTTACTGAACCACTTCTATCCTTGTTGCCATTGCTTATTTTATGTTCAGGACGGTATGTAAAGCCCCACTTCATTACATATGTTCTTCCCCTGCTTTGAAGAACTGCTTCAGGATTTCAATTCCATTTGTTCAAAATCCCCAGTTAGCACTCTGCTTATGTCTGCAACTGTTTGGGCATAATAGCTTTGCACCTTGTGTAAGAAGTTGTCTGCACTTCAAAGTTTACTCCCTAGAATCTTTAAGCCACAATCAATTGAGATGTGAACAGTTTTGTCTGTTATTTGTGTTACTCATCATTGGCACTATTCAGTTATGGAATGAACAAGATTAACTTTGTCCTCACAAGTTCATATGAATCATGTTTCTGCAGGCTTCATTTCAATTATTATCTTTGTTCTTGTCTATTCTTAAATGCTTCAATTTTAGCAGAATTTGTGATGCTAAAATAGGGGCTTTTTCTAACTAAATATTTTATCTTGCTTGGTGTTCATACTAGATCCTGCACCACCATATCACAACAAGGTAGTGCCACCTTATTTTTGTCCAAACTTTTTTTTGTAAATTCATGGTTTTTTCCATAATATAAATTTCAAGAAATCATTGATCAGATCAATGGTGTGGACATTTCCATGAATGTTCATTTTGGTATGGGCGAACAAGGGATGAATAATTTCAGGAGTTTCAATTCTCACATTCTGAGTTGACTTTTTTATATGATATAAGCTAAACGCTTATTTGTGTTTTAGAAGTGAATATTGCATTTTCCCAACACGATTTGTTGAACATTAAGTTTTTTTTTTAACCGTATGTGTTCTTCATATGTTTGTCAAAATAAAATGATTTTAATACTGGAGTATATTTCGTAGATCTCTATTTCAGTCTATTGGTCTATCGCTTCTTGGCCTTTTGGCTAAGATCAAGTGTAGTGTCAGTCTATTGGTCTATCTGTTTTGTGCCAATACCACAGTTTGAATATAAATAGGTTCATAATACATTTTGAAATCAGAGGTTTGGATTCCTCAAGTTGTATTGATCAAGACTGCTTTGGAAGCTGGCACCTAGGCACTTTCTTTCCACCAGTACCTAGGTATCCTGGAAGGGCCTGGGGACTCTGGTTGGAGGACAACAAAGTGCAGCAGGCCTGGGAACTCCCACATGTGCTTGGGTTCCAGGCCATTGGGAGTAGATGGAGTGTGGTGTTAGTGTTCCAGGCTGGAATGCTAGTAATGTGAGCTGATGGATTAAGCTTGGGCATTCATTAACATGCTTAAGTCCCAAGTGGGCATAGGTGTAGGGTCCAAGCTGACACATGTGCCAGAGGACTGGATCTGGAGTCCTGGATGTGTGGACAGGACACCAGGCCAGCAAGTCACCCATCCTGAAAACTGTCCTGGGGAACCCATGTGCTCATGGGTGCAAAGGCTGTGGATTGATCCAGAAAGGGGTATGCAATGTGTGGAAGCAGGACTACTGAAGTTCCTTGCAGGTGAAGAATGACTTGTGGGGGAATTCTTCCAACAAGGCCATTGTACTTGCATGTAAGCAAGGGGCTGACACCCAGAGGTTTCAAGGAGGGAGAGTAAAGGATCTTTCTGGGTCAGACCATTGGCACCTACACACATGAGAGAACAGAGTTGGGTTCGTTAGCACTAACCACTGACCACTGCCCACCAATGCACATAAAAACCATGACTGGGGAGGCCTATCTAGCAGGGCTGGATGACAGTACCCACGAGTGTGTGCCAGGGCAAGGAGTGGGTCTCATTAGGCTATGCCATGACACTAACTGGCATGAGAAAGAACCAGTCTTAGGGCAGATTTTGAGAGGAATATGAGGTGTTTCCCCAGTGCTTGCAGTAAGTATCCACTGGGCTATATATGTATATGTATATGTATATCTATATATCTATCTATATCTATATCTATCTTCTGGGCTACTGCTCTGGCTGGTGAGCATGAGAGTTGAGATCAAGGGCAGACCAGACTGGGCAGGTCTACAACACCCATTGGCCTGCATGTGAACTTGATTATGGGAAGAGCAGTCTGGGCTATGTGACCATATCCACTGGTGCATTCGTGTGCCAGAGTAAGTGCAGGCTGGTCAGCTTTGTCACAGCTGGCAGGGGCTGTCACAGCTGGCAGGGACTGAAACAGGGGGTAAGTCCTATCTTGTTAGACTTCTGAACCTCCTGGAAAGTGCAAAATCTGGGATGTGGAGTGGGCCTAGTAAGGAAAATGTGGAAACCCCTCTGATGAGCAGTAGCTCCCACCAGTGAGCATTTGGACCAGAACTGTGGATGGTCCTGGCTATACTGGCTTTAGCACCTACCTGGCTGAATAGCGAGGTCTGTTGGGCTCACCCTCTAGCCCCAACTCTAGCTTCCTGATAATACAGATGCTCAGATGCAGCAACAACGATGTAGGTGATTGTACTCCTGCCACCTTCAAAGAGGCCTTAGTTGAGTTCCTGGGTTCTGACTTCTGGTCCAAATGCAGACATTACAGGCACTGGGGGAGTAAACCAGAGGATGGACATTTTGTTTGTCTATTGCTGTCTCTCAAATGAAAAATTAATACAAAATTGGTAAATGATAACATTATCTGAACAGAAACTGCTGAACAGAATACATACAAATATCCATGTGAGTCTTGTATTGAGTCCATGCATAGCCTCTGTGGCACAGGGACTTCCCCACTTAGGTGCTTTCCATGGGCTAAGGAAAGAAGCTGACTGATGTGAATTTTCCAAGTTTTTATTTATTTATTTATTTTATCTAAGTGAAGTTTAGTACTTTTTTCATGGTGCATGCTCTTTGATAGGCATTAACGCATGAAAGAAAATCTTTGGTTTTTTTAAATGCTATCATTTGTCCATCTACATACTGTTAACTCATTTTTAACTCAGGACACAGCCTAGTGGCCTAGTGGCTGGAGTCCCAGCCTTGCATATACCGGGATCCCATATGGGCACAAGTTCTGATCCCTGCAGTGCTGTTTCCCCTCCAGCTCCCTGCGTGTGGCCTGGGAAAGCAGTTGAGGACATCCCAAAGCTTTTGGACCCTGCACCCTCATAGGAGACCCCGAAGAAGCTCCTGGATTATGGCTTTAGATCAGCAGAGCTCCAGCCATTGCCACCACTTGCAGAGTGAATCATCAGATGGAAGATCTTCCTCTCTGTCTCCTCCTCTCTGTATATCTGACTTTCCAACAAAAATAAAATAAATCTTAAAAAAATTAAATAGATTCAGATAATCTTATCTCCAATTTTTGATTAGTCTTTTGAAATCTGACCATCTCTGCAAGAATTCCATCCATCTGAATGCCCTGACAAAGGCTTTCATCTTTGCTAATATTATATATCCATTCCTAAATGTAGCCTTCTTACTTTGTTCTAGTTGTTATTTCTACATTTCTTTTTAAACTTTTATTATATGAAAACAACAGATTTCATATTTTATCTCATATTTCATAGTACAACTTTAGGTATATTTTTCCCTGTCTCTCCTTCATCAATCACCTTTACTTCTTTAAAAAAAAAGTTTTCCAAAAATGTGCTTTTCTTTAGGTGTATTAATATAATGTTTATTAATTAATATATCTTAATATTTAAAACTTCCTGTGTGTTAGTATCAGAATTGGGCTACAATGATTTTTTTTGTCCTCTAAGTCTGCTTTTTGTCAGTGTGTTTCATGTGTGTGTGTGTGTTTTCCATGTGTATGTTTTCACTTTCTATGTGCATTTTTGTTTTTGGTTAAATGTAGAGCACTATAATTGATTGCCAGGAACCGAAGCAAGCGTGTTTTTATGATTAGGCATTATTTTTATCTATCTAGCAATCAGCTTACACTTACTGTTTTCTGTATTATAGGTGCCAGTAGCTTCAACTTCCTCTGTCTGCTGCTAAACAATGCTCTTAAGAAAAACTTAGCATCTTGCAGTTTTTTTCAAATATAACCCATTATTTTTATACTGTGCCCCTGAAGATGTTTTGCTAGGGAAAGGAGGAGAAGGAGGTTCTTTAAACTTGCGATTGCAGTTCAGGCTTTGGTGGGTCTGTTTCTGGGCTGCGATCTTCGTGAGTATTCCACAAGGGTTACAGATTGCTTTCCCATTCCATTTCCTGGCTGCTGTATTTCCAGTCTACGAAACTCGAAAGGTTCTTGACGGTTTTTAGCCTTTAGGTCAGACAGGAAGAGAGAACGAGGATGGAGTAGGAGGTATTCTCTTTCTTCTCTGGGATAAAGCTCTGACAATGTCTTTTGTTTCTCCCCAGTGGGTATTTATTTTGTTGTGAAAGAGACCAAGGACTTGTTTCACAGTGACTACTTTCCCTGTTCCCGCACTACATCCAAGAAAGGGTATTTCTTAGGTATTTATCATGATATCTCTGTTGAGTACTTGCAGTGACATTCGTAGCTTTCAGTTTCAGTTCTGACATGCAAAGTGTATGGTAGTCAGTCACAGAAATCTGGAAAAATTTAAATTGAATACCTCGCAGATGAAATACGAAAACCGAAGTCTCAGCTTGAAATGCTATTGCAAAATACAGGAAGACAGAGACATTCAAGAGCTACAAGTCAGAAAATTAGCTTCCCTGAAGAAAAAGCCACTCAAATCCATAAGCTACAAGGAAGCCTACATGGTTACTTTAACAAATCATGGTCAGCCCAGTGAATTCCTGTGTGCTACAGTGCATTAACTATTTTAGCTTCCAATATTTTTTAAGTAGTGCCTACTTTTACTTCAAAGCATTGCTATTTTTAAAATTGCTAAGTCATAATCTTCATGGGCAATTTTATTTTAACTCCTGGGTAAGCCATGTAGTTTTCTTTTGTTTTCTTCTACTTCTGTTGGTTGTTACAAGTTCAAGGTGTACTATATAAAGTTAGCTTGTATTTCATGGTAATCTAATTAAATTTTGGCTAGCAAAGAGATTTGTTTATTGAAATTTTATGAACTTCCTATACATACATTGTCATGTCCACCTCTACACTGAATTCAGTCCAAATTTATTAATTGTGCAAAGCATTGATTTCCTAGGTTACCCTCATACTCCAGAACCATAAGTTAACAATTTCTCCTTCAAGGAAAATCTTCACTTATTCATTGTCTATTTTGCAGAGTAGATTTTGTGAAGAACTGATTTGATGAGAAATTATATTGATCATAGGACTATATCACTATATTGGATTAATTGAAATATTATGTAAGAGTATTCTTACTAAGGTCTCATAAAAAGCAAAAGGAAGCATTCATATATATTCTTAGATCTTAGAGTATATTTAGTGTAACAAATTTTAATTTTAACTGATTTTTGGAAACCTCATCCACAACAAAATGCTATGATAACATTAACTAGAGTTGATTTCTGTTATACCATCACCTAAATGCTAGCAAAATGAGATCTAAAATGATTAATAAAATAAGCTTTGGAATCATCCATGATAGAGTCAGTTTATACCATTTTAGATAGCTATATTTTATTTTATACACATATATAATATGCTACTACATGGCATTAGAATTTTCATGAATAATATGTAACACTTAAAGTTTCAAACATATCATAAAATACTAATATTCTGCTTGACAGAAGGATTTTGTAGTGATCTAAATACAAACTAATTATATAAAACGTAACATGGTAATTTTTCACCATCATGATTGTTATATGCTACACAGTAGTGTTGACCTGAGGGCCTGATCTAATCACATGGATCCTTAAAACCACAAAATGTTTTCCAACTAGTATTTGGAAGATAAAGCCACAAAGCTTCAAAGCTCAAGTGCAGATTTCATGCATGATTACTATCATGAATATGAAAGAGATCAATACTTAATTCTATTGGATTTTAGTTTTTACGATGGTTAAAATGGTGATAACTATATCATGTGTATTTTACCACAATTTTAAAAATTGAAAAAAAAACACTAAAATACAAAGCAAGAGTTGCTCATTCATTGACTGAGTATAAGGTGGGGAGAATCAACCAACTGAAACACTGCCTCAGATTATCCAGAAAGTCAGCTTAGAAAATTAAGACTCTTGGGAGAGTCAAGATGGCAGAATAGTGTAAGGAC